TCTGCGTCATCTTAGGCTCCACTTAGGACAACTTCTCGGAAACGTCAGACATTGCTATGACCTGGGTACGTTACTGTAACACATTAACGCCAGGGAACTTCTTTTTGGGAACTAGCCTATGAAGAAGAATATTTTGACAGTAAGAAGTATCAACCTTAAAGTGAAAATATTATTTACTGGTTAAAAGCAAAAATTAAACTTTGTTTTTGGTGCTATAAAACAACCACCAAATAGTAAAGAGCATTATTTATTTCCACCTACTTTGAAAAAAAGTCAAACTATACATAAAGATCCTTCAGGAATACATTTGATCAATCATATGTACTGGCTACTTTTAAAACGCGAGAATCCAAATTTAAGGCTTACTAAACATGTCCAATTCCCTGCTCTATTTGGTGCATTTTTAATCAGGAATAACCATTTCCATGATGGTATGACAAGTATAAACCATTTCATGAATTCTGATGACTGCACTTCTCACTATGGTTGATAGAACATTATGAGAACTACCATTTATATTCCATATGTTAGATAAAATGGACATTTTTTATGAATATCAAAAAAAATCCTCTAAGGTTTATTTGACAGGAATACTTTACTACTACCTTCAGATCGTCAGTGTTCTTTTGCAGCTATGCTTTTGCATCTTGAGAAAATGCCATGTTTTCAGTTGGATCCTCACACTAGCCAACGGCATTAAGGGCTCAATACAAAAAGATCCAACAGCAGTATTCACTGTTATGTCTATATAAATATTACTATTTATATTCCAAATAGTAGGAGTTGGCTCAAATAGTTAATTAGTTACCAACGATAGTTTTCCTGTGCAACTTATATTTAAGATTATTTTATAAGAGGGCCCCAACTTGGTTATTTCTGAATACATTTAGACTTCTGACAAATTAAAGTTATTATCATCACCTTGCCAGGAAGATGTTAGTAGTGGCTGCGTTTTCATACCTAACACTCCAAAAGAAAACTCCTGCATATCTATTATCCTTTGTCAAGGAAAGTCTTCAGAAGAAGAAGATTCAATAAATAAAGCAAGTTTACCTCATCAAATAGCAAACTAATGACTTGCAGAGTAAGCGAGAGATGGGTACAAAAAACAGGAATTTACATGGAAATAAATACATTGGAGCTCCTCATGGCACCATAAGCTACAGACTACGTTCTACAGTGGTTATGATACCACTAGCACCTTGCAGTACCATTTTTTCCCCGCTCATTTCTCTACCTACTGATAGAAGGAAATTCTACTTGTACATATTTTTTTCACATTAATTTCCCAGTTTTAAAAGACTTTCTCTACTGCTACACACCACATTTTTTGCCCCATCATGGGAATACACTAATCACATTGCCCAAGAGAAAGTGTATAAGCTCAGAGAAGCCACTCGCGTGAGGCCGCGCGCGCCCAGCCTGCGGGTCTGCGTTTGTGCCTGCACTGGGGAGACTCCACCAAATACGCTCTTTTCCTTTTTTTTTTTTTTTTTTGGGGGGGGGGGGGGGGGAAAAGGCATTTCTCAATTCCATACTGCACTGCCATTACTGTACTCCACAGCAATATAATTTCAATAGGAAAAAAAACCGCACCCAACCCACCCGACACATGCTGAACGGGAGCGAATTCCAGCTTGCAGAATATAACTGACCAGCGTGCAATTTTGCCAGGATTCTAAGATAAACATAATTACTCATATTAAGAGTGTTAATTAATTGTGTGTGAATACAAATAGTAGGCTGCTCGGTTTTATAGCTCTTTAGAAAGCCAACAATTCTATTAGGCATTGCTGTGCAAAAGTCACGTTAGGATACTGCTCTGAAATCACCAAAAGTCTGATACAGAGCCAGGCAAAGCCAGTGCAAAGTCGACCACTGAAATAATGCTCCAAGAAAGAGAAAATAGTGGTACCTAGTGAATAGGTATTAACACTTTCTGGGAAAAGGCAGGATTTTGGACAGATCTTTGGTAGAAGAAATTTGCATAAACCAAGAGCCGTCAGACAGAGCTAAGCTATGCCAGTTACCATGAATTAGTGATGTTGTATATACAGCAGCTAGACCATGGCAGGCACCTGAAGGTGTAACT